AGTAAATACCGCTAATTAGCCGCTGAGCTATCAGCCAGCCGCGGCCGGCAGGCTGAGGACAGGACGGCTCACTGTGAGGCAGCGCGTGCTGCGCAGAGTTTGATGGAAACCCTGTTCGGGGAGCCCTGCTCCAGCGCCTGGGTTCTGTTCTCATGGCGCTGGGAGCCGCTGCCCACCACAGCTGTAGAGGAGGGAACACTTCCCGCGTGCGCTGGGTGAATAAGCACCTGCGACGACAGCGATGCATAAAAAAGAGAAACCTAGCAGCGTGCCAGCCGAGTTGTGCAAGAGCTCTGGTATCCCCGGCGCTGGGCGGAGGGCTCTGCTCTTCCCTTTACAAATAACACCCAGTTTCTGTGTCTTTATTCGTGCTTATTCATTCCTTGCATCATCAGCCAAGCAGCTGAGGATCTCGGTGCGCGGTGTGGTTCTCCAGCGCTACAAAAGGCAAAAGCAGCATCCTGTGTTTTGCTGGGATGCCCACGCGTTGTGTTTGGAGATGCCCTGGTGCTGCGGTGGGTGTCGGAGAGGATCAAAGATAGAGGAAAATGAAACTCCGCCTGCATCTGTTTCGCAGTGTGGAAAGCTCTAACGAGGGTCCCCTCCGCTCTGCTTGCTCACCAATCGCCTCGGGTAGCTCCTCGGATTTGCGTAACTTAATTTCTGGTCGGTGCGATGGGTGCCGAAACCCTCGGTCTGTCTGAACGTCCTGGTAGCTGCAGCTGGGAAGTGTCCTTGGCCGTAGAGTTCGAGTTCTGTGCTACCGTTTGGTGGGCACAGCCTTTGGGTTAGCTTTAGTGTGTCGAGGGCTGTCTTGGCCATAGATTTGACTGTGACTCCTGTGCCAGGGAGTACCCAGAGATCCTGGGAACACCGAGACCCCAGACCCACACAGCCCAGGCACCACCGTCCGCTGGGTAACCGGCCTTTAATAAAGCTGCTGCTTTGTATCCGCCACTGACTGATTTCGTGGTGACGTATTTTGCCTCTCCGTAGTTCTGCTCGCTGTGGTGTAGCACAGAATAGTTCTGCACATCTTGCGCGTTCCTGGGGGCAAAGGGCTCGAGTCACCTCGAACCTCCAGACTGGGAATTCTGAGCCAGTGGAATTCTCTTCTCTTCCCCTCTTTTCAGGCCAGGTGGGAAGGGGGTGTGCGGGATTTTTCTAGCATCTGAGTGAGGACTTGGGCGGACGGCTCTGCCTGTGGTGGTGGTGTCCCCTTGTCCTTGTCATGAACTGACACAGCATTGCATGGGTTTCTGGTCAAACGGGCACAAAAGATCAATGAAAATGACAGATGGTGTTTCTCCGCCATGTGCAGAAGGTATTTCTAGCCCATTCCCTTCCTCTTTAATTCCAGTAACCATCCTTTACTCTTCTGGGCGAGATCTTCAGCATGAATCAACTGGCCTAGCTCTGTTCCTTTAACTGAAACCGACTGATTTACGTTGGCTGGGGATCTCGTCCTCGCTTCGTCAGCAGAACAGCTCTCGAGGAGCTGACGTGTCGATGCAGTACGTTGCAAGTCTGGGATACGATCCGGCCGTGGCTCCAGAAAAGCCCATCGCCCCGCTTGTGCTGCCGCAAGGGCTCTGGAGAGACGAACGGCACCAGCGTGTTCCCTCGCTGCCTGCGGCCGGTACAAAATCTGCAGCTGGGTCAGTTCAAACGCTAGAAAAAATAGGAGTGCTGCTGTTGTCTGCTTTTCCAGCCCTTCGGTAACCTCCCAGGAGGACTTAAGTCTCTTAAAAGAAATAAACAGGGCAAGAAGCAAGAGTCTGACTAACCGAAAAAATAATGTTACTTGAGCCTGGCAACAGTTAGCCAGCGGGCACGGAGGGACACGACCCGCCCGGGCTGGGCTGAGCTCTGCCTCCACCCCATGACGAGCTCTGCGTCCGCGCGGGGAAGAACGGCTCCACGCCAGGAGA